CAGTCAATTTTACCAATTAATCTAGAACTACCGATGACAATGGCCTGAGTTTTCTTAGGATTAATCGTTAAACCATAACATTTACTCCAATACGAAACACAATTCAGATCAGCGTTAATGGTGTTAACTGCTTTAGATAGATCTTCAAGAGAGGACTGAGTATAGATTTGGAGATCATCAGCATATAAGTGGTAGGAAGAGGACAAATTATGACTTATAGAGTTAATGAAAATTGCAAAAAGGAGAGGAGACAACACGCCACCTTGTGGTACACCAGCAGCTGTAGTAGTCCAGGTGGAAAAAACCTCTTGCACCTGAATTCGCTGTCCGCGATCAAACAACTAACTTCGAAACCAGTCAACTACAGTTGGAGATATGTTGAGAGCGCGTAGAATGCTTAACAAGATATCAAAATCTACAGTATTAAATGCGTTACTAAAATCAAGCAACGAGAGAATGGTAAGCTTTTGTTTCTTCATACCATACCGAATATCATCAGTGATTTGTAAAAGTGTAGTAGTCGTACTATGGCCAGGACGGAAACCGGATTGCAAGGGGTTTAAAAGATTGTGTTTTAAAAGATAGGTGCTTATTTGATTGTGCACATGACGTTCTAGAACTTTGGAAAAGAAAGGCAAAATAGAGATAGGTCAGTCACTACCAATCGAATTTAAATGGATGGACATTATGGCTCTAACAACTAAATATAAAAATTGGCTAAAATTAAAAGCAGAGGTGTCCGGAGTGGGAGCTTTTGAAAGAGAGTCCAAGGTATTATGTTTTGCTTTATCGTTAATGCAAGACGAAGATGAGAATTGCAAATCAAGTTGATTGAGATCAAATTATTTATTTTGTATTGCGTGTGAGATTTTGTCGTAATTTCCCAACTCCTAAGGACTTAAGAAATTTTCAGACCCTAGCAGGGTCAGGATCTTGTACTGATTCATGGATATGGCGTCATTGTGCTTTTCTACACACTTATTGCAACGATTCCGTACTAATCTATACTTCTCTCTATTCAAATCGATAGGAAATAACTTGTATTTAGCTTTGGCACAATTTTTAATGTGGATGTTTTTTTTATATCATCTTTCAGCCAAGGAGAGGGAGGATGCTTTACACGCACTGGACGAACAGGTGCATGAACGTCGTAAAGCTGAATTAACAGAGAGTTAAACAAAGCAACCTGTTCATCAACAGTAGACGCATTGACGACTACACTCCGATCAATCTTTACAGCGTCATTTAAAAACTGCTCCAAATCCAAGTCACTAAAGTTACGCTGAAGTAGTATCCTTGACTTAGCTTTAGGGGGGACGGATTTTGTATGACAAGTATAAAAGGTCGTGATAGGAAAAAGAATCAGCAGCATGTTGCCCAAATTTAAGAACATGGTCAGGTAAAGACACAAACATTATGTCGAGAAGAGATGGGGCACAGTTCGAGAAAAAGTGTGTGGCAGAAGTAGGAAGAAGTTTTAAATTTGCTGCTTCAATAATAGATTTAAGTTTTATTGTTCTAGCGTTGTTTTTTAAAAGACAAATATTAAAATCACCCATAATAATACTGTGACAATAGATAGGTGTTAGATGGTCAAGAATATTTTCTAACGTGGTGATGTCGTCGACAGTGAGAGAGGGACTGTAAAAAACTCCGAGAAGTAATTTTGTATGACCAAGAATAACTTCGATAAAGAGTAAACAAAATAGAACCGTATTAGTCGCTTTGTTTTGCTGAAAATCCGGGGTCCATAAACAACATCCCCGTAGTTGAGCCTAGACAAAACCAACGACTCGCAAAGAGTAATGCGTGATAGTACAGAAAGTTGGTCACGGATTTGGTATAAAACCTTTAGGCGATAAAAACAGTTTTTTACCATATTAAGGACATGATTTTCAAATCTGAGATTAGTGTCGAAGGTAATGCCAAGGTTTTTGGATTCATCCACGCGCATTATATGTTTACCATGAATCTTAACGTCTAGGCCACCACGAATTCTATTTATTTGCGTCTTTGTGCCCATGACCATATATTTTGACTTTGAAGGGTTTAAAACAAGGGCATTTCTTATTGACCAGTCAGATCTGTCCAAGTCCCCATAAGCCGTGTGACAGCTTGTGGTAACTTATCTGGTGAGTCCGACACGTATATTTGCACATCATCAGCGTAGCAGTGGTACGTAGAATACTTTATAACTTTGACAAGATCAGCGCAGTAAATTATAAAAAGAAGTGGACCAAGTATTGAACCCTGAGGAACACCACGATTTAAAAGCCTTGGTTGAGAACTTACGATAGACCCATCACTTTTTATCAATTTTACTGATTGGTACCGATTATTCAAGTAACTACTGAACCACTTGACCGAATTTTTGTCTAAACCATAATATGACAGTTTAACAAGCAGTAGGTGAATATTTAGGCAGTCGAAAGCGCGGGAATAGTCTAATAGCGTTAAAATTGTACTGTGTCCGGAATCTTGTTCAGCTAATATATTGTCTGTGACATCAAGTAAAGCAGTCGATGTGCCACGTCCTTTGCGAAACCCAGATTGTAAATGAGGCAAGATGTTGGTCGTTTCAACAAATTTTGTCAACTGTTCGCAAATAGCTTTCTCCAGCAGTTTCGCAAGGAATGGCAAAATGCTGATGGGCCTAAGATCTTTTAATTCGATCGGGTTTTCATTTTTTGGGTATTGGGGTCACTAGTGCCTCCTTCCACTTATCAGGAACTATACCCGTCATAAGTGACTTATTAATTATAGCCGTGATTGTATCCAGAGTGCAAGGAAGAGAGAGTAATATCATATCTCTGCTTATTCCATCGTGTCCAACAGCATTCGATTTTATGGTCATTATATATTTAGAAATATCTGTTGACTCTACGGGAGCTAATTTAAATACCTCTGTATGGAATTTGTTATGTTCAAAAAATATTATATCTGCATTGGAAACTATATTGTCTCCCGGAATATTCAAGAAATGATCATTAATTTTGTTTGGGTCATTGAAATAGGGAGGCAAGGATTTGTCTTTCGAGGGGTCAACCAAAATTTTTTCCTTCAAATTTTTCCAAAATGTTTTGCTATTTTTAGCTTGAGAATTAACTAAACTATTGAAGTAGGCCCGCTTTTCTCCTGCAATACTTGTTAACACTAGACTTTTGAGCTCCTTGTAATATTTTTTATGTTCGTCTGATCCGGATTTTCTATAGACATCGTAAGCCATATTACGCTCATCGATCATCATTTTACAGACATCGGTTACCCACGGCAGTGAATACTTTGGTTTTAGAGTTATTTTTTTCACTGCTGCATGCTTATCAAAGAGAGAGATCATCATTGAATTAAATTTTTCCACCATCATATTCACTGAAGGTAACTCAATTACATCGTTCCAGTTGATTGCATATAAATCATTATTGAATTCCTTTAGATTTATTTTATTAATTGGCCTGAAACTGAAAGTTCTAGTTGGTATTTTAACCTTTTTTAACGATAATGTAACATTAACCATTGCGTGTCCATTGGAATTCATTATATTGTTGACAGTGACATCACGAACTGGTGCATTCGTACAAACAAGATCTATCAGAGTCTCAGTATACGATGTGTAATGAGTCGCCTCACTAACAACCTGACGGAGGTTCATGTAATCAAGGAATTGAGTAAGTTTGACAGTACTACTATTACTTTCCACAAGCATGTTAATGTTAAAATCTCCCAACAATACAATTAAATCATACTTCGAAAAATAATTAATGGAGTCAGTTAAAGCGTCAATAAATATATCTATATTGATCCATTGTGGTCTGTACGCAGTCCCTATAGCAACACTGTAACCATTGACCCGAGTCGATAACCACATCTGCTCAATTTGCACATTAGGTCTAATCAAATATCTCACGTTAACATCGCGTTTAATATAAAAAGCAAGTCCACCCCCCCCCCCCCGGCCACCGGGCATGTGTAGCGGGCGCGGAGTGACTCGGAGTCGGTAGCCGGGCACGGCCGGCGCACGAGCCTCTTGCCCACTTTGGATCCACGATTCGTTAATCGCAACTATATCTGGTCTATAACGGTCCATAGCAATAAAAAAATGATCATGTCCTGTATTGAGTGATCCCGCATTATAAAGGCCTAACTTAAATAGCTTTGACTGTGGTTTTATTATAACGTAAAAGAACAAAATAAATTATTATTACAAGAACACCACCCACTAAATAAGCGGGGACGCAGGATAAGTGTAAAAAGAATGTTTTGAGATGGACATGTCATAATGTGCTGCATTTTTTCTCGATTTTGGTTAACTATTGTTACTGCAAGAACGCCCACACAACACCCGTATATTAATAACAAATAAGGCACATATATTAATAAATAGTTAAGATAAAAGGAAGTTGAAAATATGTCATGAACTTCATCATACAAGTTATACAAATCATTTAACAAAGTATATGTTACATTCCATTGCATTTCATTTATATTTAATGATTTTAAAATGCTAAGATTATTATACAAAACTGATGAAAATGCAATGACTAAAATATTAAGCCTATTAGAAAACAACCAGAAGAAGACATAGCTAACAAGTAGCAAGTGGGTACTACAAAAATGATATTGTTTAACAAATGGTAATAGATTTATGCAACAAATATATATTAAAGTAATACCAAATAAATAATAAAAAATACAGATGTAGTTAATCATTTTTGATGAGAGATCTACTAACGGCATCAACCCCAAAAACCCGGCTCAAGTCCCTCTCCGTACGCTGACGCGGGGACTCTGCTCCCTGGTGCCGGCGTACGTATATCCTGCCTTCCCTTGTCCATATGAACCGCCAGCCCAGTTTACTTCCGAGTTCACGAGCTTGCCAAAAAAGTCGCCGGTTGACTTTCGTCAGTCTCTCATTAACATAGAATCGACGGTGCGGAGCCGGTAAACCAGTGGCTTCGGTAGTGATGCCGCGACGAACGCGAGTCGCCATCAACACTTGATCCTTAAGAGCGCGTCTGCCGAGCTTCACAACTATAGGCCTCGGACGTGACTCCGGCACAGTTTCCGAGGACACATTTTGTTCCCACGCGTGTGGCGCTGACTAAATCATTCTCAGAAAGCTTGACACCCAACTTCACGGCCAAAGTGGTGACAATGTGTATTAAGTTGTCACCCTTCTCTTCAGGGATGCTAGTGATCTCTATATCATTACACAATAGTTCCTGATCACGCTCATTCAAATCACACTTAAGTTGCTCAATTGTATCCAGTAAAGAACGAACATCGGTCGACGTACTACTATCAGCATGACGATCTTCCAGAAGATCCACACGGGCTTCTATCTTTTCAATTTTCTTATCGGATTCATCAATTCTGAGCGCCAGAGCAGCCAAAGTGCCATTCAGTAATTCCATTTGGAGACGTGTGGCTCTCATTTCTTCTTTGAATTGACGTACTTCCATTATAAGCAGTTGTAGATCTTTTGCTGGCATAGTTTCACTCTGCGCTCTGTCGTCATCTAATAAGTCCTGAGGACTCACCGCTGCTGCACCTCTATTTCTATTGACCCCTTCTACACCCACACGTACAGGGGTATCTGTGTTATCGGTTTTCGGCTGTTTACTAATACATACCACACATTTCCATTTAGCCCTTTGATCTTCTGCCATGCTATTAAATTGGCTCAATTTAATGTTTGCACATTGGAGGTCGTAGGGTTGTTGACACCTACTGCATTGAAGATGTTTCTTTGCCACAATTGGATTACGGCAACCAGCACAATCAATTTTATTCGGCATAATGGTTATACTTATACTTAGAACAAAGAAATGCCAAAAAAGAAAAAAAACGTAAATAAGCTAATAAACAGCAAAATTTAAAAAAAAAAGGCGCCAGAAGCTTTACGGATTGGGACTAGATCCCCTGTTCATAGATGATGTCGCCACGTTAAACCGCTACGCCAAGCGACCAATAGCTAATGTAGCGAAAATAGCCAATAAAAGCATAAAACACACTAGTCAGGTTTAGGTCGCGTAACCGGTTTAACTTTCAAGGTGACACGGCATGAATCTATTGTTAAAGTACAGAAACACAATTTTTGGAGTTATTTAACGTTTATTTCCGCACTATCACTTGGAATTCTGAACCGTCACATACACAAATCGATAAGTAATTTTGTAAGGATCACATCGATATATAGTTTACTGCATAAATACTGTTACTACTGTATAATATGATTTTTAAACTTAATCTCAAGTATACACACGTGCGGTCGGTAACTCATTCAACACACAATTGATGTCAATTTGGTGCCTAGAGATGGGAACAACCCACCACCTCCCATGGCCCCACCGACCCTCAGGTCATACGGGCCTAATCTCGGGAGATGCGCGCGGTACTTGCACCTTGCTCTTTCCCGCGCGCATTTTCTTGACTCCCTACAAATATTTATTCTGTTCCTTGTCCCAGTTTAACGTCATTCTCCCCCTTCTGGGGCTGACGGCACAATAACGCCTACGTCGTCGGGCCTTCCTACCAGCATCCTTTCCTGCCTTCTCCTGCGATCGTGCCACCTATGCGCAAACTCACGCAACAGCCCGTAGTTCACCCCATCGCTGACGAGATCCGAGTAGTAAATCGGTCCCTGAACCGTTCGAACCAGCCCATCCAACACTTTCGCTCTTAGATCGTCATACAGAGGACATTCCCATAGGACATGGTGAACATCCTCCTCTGCCGTACCACACTCACACATACTGGTTTCACACAGTCGCATGTCATGCAGTCTCTTCCGAAAACATCCATGTCCAGTGAGAATCTGGGATGTTTGATAGTCCGGTGAGACCCAGGTATACCTGAGTCTCAACGCCACCTCCGGGAAAAATCGATTTAACTCACGTCCTTTCGTTTCGTTTTCCCATCGATTCTGCCATACGCCAATCACCTCAGTCCAGATATCGCGCTTTCGTCTGCTCAACTCCTCTTTGGGCGCGGTCAAACGTGCCACACCCATCCTACCAGCACGGATGACCTCCAGGTCAGCAGGGAGAACGCCAGCCAGCACCGGTAAGGCCGCCGTGCTAGTGGACCGGTACGCCTTGGTCAACAAGACAAGTGCAGATCGTTGCGATCTCAGTAGTACGCTACGGACTGTGTACATGTTCGCCCGCTCATACCAGCACTCTGCTGCATACGTGAGCGTAGACACAAACACTCCTCTGTAAATAATTTTTAAACTCGGGTATCGAATACCCCATGACGAGGTCGATACGCGAGTCATTTTGCCAAATCCCTTAGTCGCTCTTTCAGAGATATAAGCGTGTTGCACAAATGATAATCCTGAGTCCAAAACCACGCCTAGTACCTTAGCGGTAGTCACAGACTTGATTGATTCCCCACCAAGTTTAATAACCGGGGGGCGCTGAAGTTTCCCTCTAACAGACATGGTGGTAGACTTTGAGGAGGAGAACTTCAGTCGATTCCTCAGCCCCCATTCCCGTACAAGGTCCAGAGTGACCCGGGCCCTGGATTCAATACCTGCTCTCGTTTCCGATTCAACCAAGATTGTGACATCATCGGCATAGGCAGTCATGGCAACTCCCTCAGGCAGAGGGGAGTCGAAGCAAATCGTCCATCAGCACGTTCCACAGTGTTGGGCCCAGCACGGAGCCTTGAGGACATCCCATGGTCGAGGTCTTCCACTCTACCCGGTCCCCGATGTAGAGGCCCACACGCCTGGAGGTGAAGTAGTCCACCAACATTTTATAAATGATAGGTGGACATCCACCCCTCTTAGCTTTGACCATCATCATCGGCCACCAGGCATTGTCGAAGGCACCGCAAATATCCAAAAAGATAGCTTGCACGTAGCATGCCCGAGAATACTTTGCCGTGCTGAGCAATACTCGCAGCGCTGTTACCGTAGATCGCCCCGGAGAAAATCCGTGCTGGTGCTCGGATATCCCGTGACTAATCACAGGAGCACACCTTAGAATTACACGTTCAAGCAACTTTCCCAAAACAGGCAGGAGCGTTATGGGACGATACGCCTTGGCGTCAGTGAGTGGCTTGTCGTTACCCTTGGGAATGACAATCAATCTACCGTCCTTCCATACCTGGGGGAAAACCCCCTCTATTACACACTTGGCATACACCGAGTGGAATTCCCTCGGTGCAGCCATCCAAACATTCCTCACGATTCTCGCACTCACTCCATCGAGACCCGGAGCCGTGTTGGGCAAGGCCCTGACTATGCCACCCAGGTCCTCAACCGCAAGTGGAGGTGCAGCTCTACCAGAGGGCATAAACGCCGCCAGCATTCGAACCTGCCGGTGGTAAGGCTTGTCACAGCCAGGGTCGTCATCCGGACAGAGCGCAGTCATCAGGCTGTTCATGGCAACTCCCAGACTATCTGGGTGCCCACCCGCGAATGCAATCCCATTGATCACATTCGCAGGCGGACGCACCCTCCCGCTGGCCAACCTGTATGCAAGGCCCCAAGGGTCCTCATTGCCAGTATTGGCGACCCTCGTGTGATGCGCCTGCTGCACCTCCACCATCATCTTTCTATATCTCGCACGCACACTGTGAAAAGCCATTCTGGCTATCTCCTCTGATCTACCTCCCAGACGCCTTTTACTCTGCCATACACGCCTGAGCTTGCATTGCAGCTTCCGAGTTTTATCCAGTTCAGAATTCCACCACGCATACCCCGCTGAACCCCTAGGGCGACGCTCCCCTAGGCCTTCCTCCGCGGAGCGGATGATGACCCCTGAGAACTCCTCCGCCAGGAGGGCCGCGGGTTTGTCCACATGCAACCATCCCATTCTTAATTTTATGATCGCCCGGAACCTGTCCCAATCCACCCCCCGGTCACGAAAACGTGGGGGATTCCCTGACGGGTGCAGCGCAAGTAGTCGGCCTGCTGGTAGTGGCCGCGTATGTAATTAAATTATGGTCGCTGGCGCAGATTCCCTCATGCACTCGCCACTCAGCAAGGTATATGTCTCCAGTCGATAATGTGAGGTCCACATTAGATTCTCCACCTGGCCCAGAGAAGGTATAGGGCTGGTCTGGCTGGTTCGCCAACGTTAGTTCCTGTGAAAGTATAAACGCCTCCACTTGCTGCCTCCGGTGTTCTGCAGTATGTCCTCGTCCCACGTAATGTCGGCGATCGCAGTGCCAGAGTGGCGAGTGCGCATTTGCGTCGAGGCCGACGATGACCCTTCTGCCCTTTAGACAACTCAGGGTGACCTCCAAGTGGTGCAGGTGGTCATCAATGGTGTCACTGTATTTAAAGTACGCTGACACCACGTAGAGGTCCCATCGGTTAACGTGGCACACCACACAGAACTCGTTGCTGAGGTGGCTCAGCAAAGCTACTCCAATAGTTGGGTCGGCAAGATAGATGCCAGCCCACGGGTGACCACCCACCTGGACGCTTTCTGCAGCCTGGGAGTACTGTTCTTGAACAAGAACAATGTCCAGGTGCAGTTCACGCGCCAGAATAGGCAACTCAGCCGTGGCAAGCTCCCCCCCGACCCAAGTTAATCTGCCCCATTTTAATAGATTGTTCTTTTAAATAGCTGGACATGCCCTTATCGGCAGTATTGCGTGGTGGCCACGGAGCGTTGCTCTGCATACAGTCTTGCTGGACAGTTCCTCGCCATGGTCACGTGCGTACCAGAGTCAGGCCTGCCAAATCTCTTGCAGGTAGCGCACTTTTCTTCTTTTGCTTGGCAGGTCCCACGCTCGTGTCCCGTCTCCCCACACTTGCCACACACAATTTCCTTGGACCTGCAGTATTTTGATGGATGCCCGTATTGCTGGCACCTCTGGCAGCACGTGACGTCAACGTAGTCGCAGGGCTCCACCACGTCCCAGCCAATGTAGAGACGATTCTGTCCCACAAGCACGTCTCTAAGTGCTGCCGAGCACTGGAGAATGACAGTAGTGCGCCTGCTTCCTCTCCACGATTTTTTAAAAGCCACCTTGCAGTCTGCCTTCACCTTATCCTCGCTCCAGCCGCAGGCACCAAGATTCTGCTCGTAGAGGCCGCTTATCACCTCATCATTTTTGGGGTCCTCCTCAAAACCCCTGAGGGCAACCAGGGGAAGGCGCTGCCTGGGCTCAGACACCCTCAATGATGGAGGGGCTGCAGTTTTTAATTTTTCAGCGGCCTCCTGGGACGTGGTCTGGACCACGACACCTGCATTCCCAACCTTTCTCAGTCGATCAATTTGCAGGCCGCTGGTCTTGGGGTTCACCGCCTTCTTCAGCTCCAGCTTGGTATCCTCCGCAGTCTTAATTGGCCCCTCAGCTTCAGCCGGATAGAAAGCAACTACCGGGCCCTTGCTGGCAGGCATCAGCACCTGGTCTGCTCCCTTGGGCAGCCTCAATGCAGCCGCGTATGAGCGTTGCGGTGTCAGGTCCGTCGTGTGGCAAGGAACTGTTCCGGCCACGACCTGCGCCAGTCTCCCTTCTGCGACAAGCTTCTCCTTCTCCGCTCTTAGTCTGGCCAGCTCCAACTCTGAAATGTGGACCTCCATGGTCGCCACCATGGCGATAAGGTCATGGCCATATGCTGATACCTTGTTGACCTCCGCCTTGTTGAGCTTGGAGCCGGGTCCTGAAATTATGGACATTATCCCTCTCACCGTCTCCCGCACCTGGTCGATAACTTCCAGCTTCGAAGCGGTGGTAGCTTTGAAGCTCCCCCTCACACCCCGAGCTGCCTCCCTGGAGCTGTCCTCTTCTTCTGTTTCAGGAGCAGACTCCTCAACATTCTTTGTTAGAAGCC